TGGAGCCGATGACGGTTTATCCCATGGAGCTTTAGCTGCCTGTAACAGGACCGTGGACATGGGTAGTGCTGTAGCCGTTGATGTATCTAGCTGCATAACATTGAAGACGGCATCTGTTACCTGTGGATGTGGTTGTACCACTGAAAGGCCAAGGGAGTGTGCCTTTTTTTTATAAGGTCTCCATAGGAGGTTAAATTATCAGACGGAGATATAGGTTGGTTATCGGCTATTGCCTGGTTAGGAGATGGCTGGTCAGGCGAGCTGTGCACATCTGAAGCCCCTGTATCAGAATCCTCATCCACAGAGTCGGAGGAATCGGGCTCTGGTAATTGTACTGGAGTGGTTTTGATCTAACTGGTTGGATCTGTTGATGGTGGTATAGGGGGACTGGGAGGACAATATTGATCCAGTTGATGTCGAGGAGCGTCATCAGAAGGATGATCTGGAGGACATGAGAGAGTTGCTGAAGGCCTCAATCTATAGGGTGACCATGATCTGTGGGCAGAGTAACGATCCCAATCAGAGTAACCTGCTGGAGTCAACCATGGCATGGATGCAGGAGGATAAGCCCCATAGAGATAATGCAGTTGGCGGTGATCCCAGGAGAGAGGAGGAGGTGGTGGGGGCAGGAAGACTCATGGGGATCTACTCCTAGAGCAGGAGCATCTGGGAGACAGTGTAGGATCTCGTCTCCATGTGTGGCCCCTATTAGCCCAATCATCGATATCGAAGGGCCAATCCTCGGCGAACAGACGGGGAGGATGACGTTGAGTGCTACTGCCTTTAGGACCTTAGAGGAGCCCTTTTTGGCCGACTTGTGCTCTTTACCCGACTTCTCCTTCTTTTTCACTGGAGTCGATGCCGAGGACTGTGCCGTCGGTGCTGAACACTTTGATGACAAGTGGACGATGTCAGATGAGGACTACGATACTGGAGCCATTGATGTCGATGGTCTTACCAATACTTCTGGATCCATGACGGAAGCAGGATTTAGTGCCAATTCCAGTAACGCCACCCGTAGATGCACCGCTTGGTTTTTTCTTGTCTGATTGGAAAACGTGGCGCAGTGTTGACAGGGTTCTGGCCTATGTGTCTCGCCAAGACAAAAAATGCAAACAGTGTGGCTGTTGGGTGGAGCGAGCTTACTACCACAACCTTTGCAACGCTTGAAAAAGCCCCACGTCTTCTCCATAAAATAAGCAAAACGGAGAAGAAAAGGGGGGGGGAGCCTGAAGGCCAGAGTGAGGTAAACGAAAAAACCTCCCACTAAACGAAACAAGAAAAAACGTCCCACTAAACGAAACAAAGTCTTTTTTTTTAAAGAAACAATGAAAATAACAAAGGTAGAAGCAAAAAATGAAGAAAACTGAAGAGAAATCCGAAGAGTCTCTGAGGAGAAATCACTACCGATCAGACCGATGAAAGGAAGGTGCTTCCAGTGCGGCGGAAAGAAAGGAACTAGTGGGATGTCCACGCCCACCCCTCTGGGCATGCGTGGTGGGGTTCCTGCGCATGCCCGAGGTCTGGGCGCGAAAATCCGTTAAGAGCTTGCTACAATGCCCATCGATCCAGCGCATGTGCACTGTATCTCATGGGTATGAAGCACAGAGACCACGTTGAAGTTCAATAAGAAACCTCGAGGGTGGGGGAAGGAGAAAGAGAAAGAAAATAACAGAGAAAAAAGATAACAAACAAGGGAAGTGAGGAAAGTAAAGCCTAATAAAAAGATAGCAAGAGTAAGACGAAAGTAAAAAACGGCGTTAGAAAGTAAACTCAAAAAAGAAACGCAAAAAAAGAAAGGAGAAAGGCTAAGAAGAATTTAAATTTAAAAGGGGAAACATAAGTAGATAAAGGTACCGCTTGATTCTGTGCTCTGTTTCCTTCCCTTTTGTTCCAGATGAAGATCGCACTGCGCATTTAAGGACGGGAGAGAGGAGATCGAAATACGTGACGGGGCAAAGGCAGAAGTAAAGCAAGGAGTGACGACGCAGAACGAAGCAGGGGAAGAGACGGACAGAGGCTGCGCTGAGACAAACAGAACAGAGACAAAAAGAGGCAGGACGAAACAGCAACGGCGACTAGAAGCGGCGAAACAGAAAGTAGACAGGAAAGAGGGCGCTAAAGATACAAACAAGAAACAGAGGTGAGAGGACATTGCAATAATAGGAAATAATATGAAATAAAAGGGAAGCAATTGAAACAACTGAAGTGAAAGTGAAATAGTGATAGCAATAGAGAAGAAAAGGGAAAACAGACAGTCAGATAGCTAGATAAAGAAATAGCCTCTGATAATTACAAAATAGGAGCAGAAAAATAAGAGATAAGAGAAAGAAAAGATAGATACAAAAGAAAGGCTGGACAAAAACAAATTGAAGTAACAGAATATACAATATACAATTGTAGTTACGATAAAAGCAAATAGCAAATAGCTTACAGGGTATAAAAAATAAAAACAAATAATTAAGCAATTAACAAGCAATAATTAATAAAGAATAATAAAAGAAACAAAATATAAAATGGCATCAGGATCCAGTAATATAGGCAGCGTAAGGAAAAACTCACTACCATCTCCAGGGCAACTAGGACTCACAGGGCATTCAAAAACAAATGTGGGACAAATGTCAGTAAAAGAACTAACGGTACTTATTGAAGAGAGCATTACTCTAGCACTCCAAAAACACACTGAACATACACTGCCAGGAATAATGAAGAAGAACCCCTGCGGGAAAAAATGGAAGAAATTTCTAATCAAATAAATCAGAAACAGAAGAAATTTAAAAATAAATTTTAGATAACAAAGTGGCAATAACAAATGTATAATCAGCAACAAAGAAACTCGAAGAGGTGCAAAGTATAGATCAAGAATTGCAAGAAGTAAAAACTAAAACAGATAAAATGGAGGAAACGTTAATTAGCCTTGAAATGGACAAAGCTAGCCTGATTATAAGATGCCACAACATAAAAGAAGAAATAAATAAAAACCTAAAGGAAGAGTTAGCATACAATATAGCAGAGCAGCTAAAAATTGGAGCGGAAGAAGAAGTATCTGCGGTAATAGACACAATTTTCAGGAGAAACTCGGCGTATGCAAAAAGAAATAAGACACCGAGATAAGTGCATGTAAAAATTTTTAAAAAGAAACCAGAGATAAAATACTAAGAGCTGCTAATGAACACAAGTTGGTAATAAAAGGCATGGAGATAAGATTGTTAAAGGAAACACCCTGGAGAGTGAGGGAGAAAAGAAAGAACTATAAAGTGCTGGCGAGTCTATTAAGAAGGAATTATATAATGTATAGATGGTTGTTCCCAGAAGGATTACTATTTACATATAAGGAAAAACTACCCTCTAGAATAGAAATAGCAAAAAATTGCTGGATGTAGCTGAGCTAGATAAACTAACAATGCTATTACGTGGAAAAGAAGAAATAGTATTTCAAAACAAATGGTTAAGAATGTATAAATGGTGGGAAAAACTTACTATGTATAAGACCACCAAAATATGACTGTAGAGATATAAAATGCTTGTGGCTGTATAATACAAAACTAAATAAATAAAATATTAAAAAAACAACAACAAGATTATGCTTGGGATAGAGCAGGTAGAGAAAGAAGTACCTTTCTCCCTTTCTCACAATACAAGCACTCGAAGGCACTCAATGAAATTGCTAAGCAGTCAGGTTAGAAAACATAAAAGGAAGTACTTCTTCACCCAAAGAGTGATTAACACATGGAATTTACTGCCACAGGAGGTGGTGGCGGCTACAAGCATGGATGGCTTCAAGAGGGAATTGGATAAATATATGCAGCAGAGGTCCATCCGTGGCTATTAGCCAAAAGGTACAGATAGGAACTCTCAGTCTGGGGCAAGTGATGCACTGTATTCTTGATGCTTGGGGGGGGGGCAACAGTGGGAGAGCTTCTAGTGTCCTGGCCCCACTGGTGGACCTCCTGATGGCACCTGGTATTTTTGGCCACTGTGTGACAGTGTTGGACTGGATGGGCCATTGGCCTGATCCAGCACTGGCTTCTCTTATGTTCTTAAACCTGGTTCTCCCAGATTAGAGTTCGCACTCCTAACCACTACACCAAACTGGCTCCTAACTACTACACCAAAAGGTTGTGCCGCCCCTCTCCATCCCCTTAAGTGCTATTAAGTTAATAACCAGGTGGTTGTACCTGAATGTATATTACATCTAATTGCTTATAATTTATTTATTTGTTTATTTAGATTTTTCAGCCAGTCTCCCCCAGGTAAACCGGGCTCAGAGCAGTATACAACATAATATAAAAATAAATTAAAATCAAGTTAAAACCAATAGCAATCAGAGTACATCTAGTGATGGAGCAAAGACCCAGTAACACCCTTATCTCATGGGAGGGGAGGGCCAGGATGGAGCTGTTGCTGTCCTCAACCAAACGCCTGGCAGAACATCTCTGCTTTGCAGGCCCTGCGGAACTGGTTGGAGAAATGCTATGGTTGCGGACAGCCAGATGTCTCTTGGGCCGGGGACCACCAATAGATTTTTGGTCAGCACGTTGACTGGCACCGCAACCACCAGCTGAGGAACCTTTGGTATAACATCCATCCAACCCTGCAGTCTCCAAAGCTCCCCAAGAATCCTAACGGTATTTGTCACCCTGCCCCTTCACCACTTGTCTGGAAAAGCCTGCCTGACAGAGGGAGGCCCACTTAGACTGTGGTTCTATTGCAATTTGAAGGGCAACAGATGGGCAGTAGACAAGAAACATCCTGCCAGACAGACACCAGTTTGGTTCCCAAGATTCCACTGCAAAGTGCAGCCCAAAAGAGTCAGTCAATGAGACTGCTCTCCAGACAGGGCTCTCTCCCCATTTACTCCCCACTCCCATGAAGATGGAAGGAATCTGGCATCACTAAGGGAGAAGGGGACTTGCCAGAAATTCATCAGAAGGTGATCTCTAAAGATAGGCACTCAGAAGAAATTCCCATGGGTTTTTTGTGAGGTGGGTGCGTAATACCTGAGATATCACAGTACACGGTGCGATGATAAATCCCAGCTTCTTGAGGCCGGAAGATCACACTAACTTCAGTTGTGGAATTGGGCCAGACATCTCCCTCCTAATGACAAAGGGAAGAAAAATATATATATTGTAGTGTATAGCATAGTACATTCAGGGCCTTTTTTTCAACACTGCCCTTTCCTCCTCCTGAAAACCAAGAAAATCTCCCTTTACAGCTGGAAGCAACATTTTGTTCGTTCCTGTGGCACCAATTTTACCAGAGGCTGTTTCTGCAGAGATGTTCTGCTCTACCTTGACTTCCAACAGCAGCACTGTTTGTGGGAACATCCACAGGACATTGTCTTCTATTTGTCCTGTTTCCACATTTCCCTGCTTTGCTGCAATCTTTCCTAAACCTGGTTTGGTATGACCTTTTGAAAGATTGCTATCAAAGCTCCTTTGGATGCCTTGGTGGACATGAAGGTGTGCATCTTTAGAGATCCCACCTACATCAGCACCATTTCCCTTGTAACAGCCTCCGCTACTCCATGACCCTAACCAGAGGATTTTTTTCAGGTGTTTTTTTTAAATTAAGAATTGCTTGATTGCTACAGCACTATAATACTGTAATGATCTATCCCCGCTAGCTCCTGCTTCCAATGTTTCAATTTAAAAACAAACTTTCTAGAGCTTTTTGTTTTGGAGTTATCAGCAAAGAGGTGGAGACCAGTCATTCACTCTCCCTCAGCCTAACTTACCTGATGGAGTGATTAGGAGGATAAAATATAGACGGGCAGAACGATGTACACCCCAGCAAGCTACTTGGAGAAAGTGCAATCAATAGGCTTGTCCAAGAGCACAGACTCTGGGACAATTTTACACTAGTGCCGTTATTTCTTCTTTAACATGTATAGCACTAGACATGCATCCTTTCTGAATGTCATGCTGGTCCCAATTACTGGATGAGACCCTCGAAACCATTTGTAAGCTCTCCCTGTCTTGCTCTGCCAACAAATCTGAAGATTGTACTCTCTGCTCCTACATCAAAGTCTCTGACAAGGACTTTTTTTCGGAACGTAGAACTAAGTTTTGGGAACATGCCCAAGAGGATTGATAATATATATATTATGAATCAATCCAACTTGGGCATATTGTAGGTATCTCTGATAAATTAGTTCAAATGTTACTCCTACCTTTGTTATGATGGCCATTATAAAGGACAAAAAAGGTAGGGACCTAACAAAAGCAGAAGAGATTAGGAAGAGATGGCAAGAATACACAGAAGAACTATACAAGAAGGATCTCACAGTGTGATCACTGACCTGAAGCCAGACATCCTGGCAGGGCCAGCTCTCTCACTAGGCCTACTAGTATTTGGCCTAGGGTGCAGATCTCCCAGGGGTGCAGCGAGGCCCCTGCCGTCGCCGCCTGCCCGCCCGCCCCCAGCATGGCTTTCTGGGCACCCACAACGCGGCCCTTCCTTCCTGCCGGCTTGCTTAGCCTCCGCCGCAGCATCACCATCAGGACAGAGATGGGGAGGGGGTGGGCGGGCGGGCAAGGAAGTGAGGAGGGAGGGAGGCGTGCTCCTCTGGGGACTCTGCACTGCTCTGGCCTCCAGTGGGCCCCCTGCCGGGCTCCGCCCTCCTTCCTGTGCAGTTCCACCCTGCACAGCTCTCCCGGCTACCAGCCACTCCTGCTCCCAGTCGCGTGGGGGGCGTGAAAGGAGCGGACAAAGGCAGATTGCACCCCTGCTGCTGCTGCTGTGCCCAGGCTCCAAGAACCTCCAGGATGGGCCCCTCATTGTGCTCCACGCCAGCTGCCCAGGTGGTGGTGGCGGCGGTGGCAGCGAAGGACTGGGGGGAGGAGGAGACCAGAGTGGTCCCCCACCGTGGCCTTCCCCTGCAAGGCTCGGAGCAGCTTTCCTCCCTCTCCTGACCACCATGGCCCCTCCCGCGGTGAGGCAAGGGGGCGGGGGAGCGGGTCGGCGGGGGGCGCTGCGGCTCCTTCTCTCCCCCACAGCTGCGCGCCATCCACCCGGCCTCTCCGCTCAGGACGGTGCTCGGGCAGCGCTCGAGGGCGGCAACCTCCTCTGGCCAGCTGGCCCGATGGGCTTCTCCCCGCGGGGAAGGAGGCTGCCTGGAACTCCCGCAGGACAGCGATCACCCTTAACCAGGATGCCAAGCGTCACCCCCACGCCAAACCAGAGTCTGCCAGAGAGGGCGGAGGAGGAGGGCTTGGCGGGGGCACCATCCGGGGGGGGGAAGGCCGCCAGCGCAAGTCCTGGCTGGCTTTCCCAGGCCATGGAGAACAGAGACTTGTTGTGGTGGGGAAGGAGGTGGGAGGCGCCCTCCCTCCCTCGTTGGGTTTCCCCAGGGCCGGGGACCAAGGGAGGAGGTTTGCTGCCGGCCGGCCCCTGGGCTAAGCGGCATGGGACTAGCCGTAGTCCAGACCTGCCCCCCCACCACCGCGGAGTCCAGAGCCGGCCCCGCGGAGCTGCCGAGATTGATGAGAGGAGATGGGGCTGGCCACCGGGCCCCTCCAGGCCCGCCCCCCATGTCAGGACCCGGCAGAGCTTCAGCCAGCGCTGCCCGGAGCAGAGCACTCCCCCCCTCTCCCCCGCCCCCCCCAGCAGACGAAAGAGCCACCGCCGCTTCCTGGCTCTGTAGCTGAAGCCCCCACCAGTCCTGTCGCCCGGCGGGAAGGGCGGCCTGGCTGGGCCTGACCCGGGCAGGGGCGAGGCTAGCTTGTGGCGTCCGGTCCCGCCCCCCGGGCGTGTTTCTGGAAGGTCTCCAGGCCCCACCGGAAGGTTGGCATCGCCTGGGGGCACCACAAGCTGGCCTCACCTAGGGCGCAGAAACACCTCGGGCCGGCCCTGCATCCTGGAGTGCAAAGTCAAACAGGCCTTAGAAAGCATTACTAACAACAAAGCTAGCAGAGGTGATAGTATCCCAGCTGAGCTATTCAAAGTCTTAAAAGATTATGCTGTTAAAGAGCTGCACTCAATATGCCAGCAAATTTGGAAAATGCAACAGTGGCCACAGGATTGGAAAAGGTCAGTTTACATTACAATCCCAAAGAAGGGCAATGCCAAGGACTGTTCAAACTATTGCACAATTGCACTCATTTCACACACTAGCAAGGTCATTCTCAAGATCCTACAAGCTAGGCTTCGGCAGTACGTGGATGGAGAACGGCCAGAAGTACAAGTTGAGTTTCAAAGAGGTAGAGGAACTAGATCAAATTGCCATCATTTGCTGGATTATGGAGAAAGCAAAGGAGTACCCGAAAAATGACTTCTGCTTCATTGACTACACTACAGCCTTTGATTGTGTGGATCACAACAAACTGTGGCAAGTCCTTAAAGAAATGGGAGCACCAGACCCCCTCATATGCCTCCTGAGAAACCTGTATAAGGGTCAAGAAGCGACAGTTAGAACCGGATATGGAACAACTAATCGGTTTAACATAGGAAAAGGAGTGTGACAAGGATGTATATTGTCACCCTGCTTATTTAATTTATATGCAGAGTACATCATGCAAAATGCTGGCCTGGATGAATCACAAGACGGAATTAAGATTGCCGGGAAAAACATCAACAACTTCAGATATGCAAACGATACCACTCTAATGCCAGAAAATGAAGAGGACCTAAAAAGCCTCTTGCTGAGGGTCAAAAAGAAGAGCGTAAAAGTTGGCTTGAAACTAAACATAAAAAAACTAAGATCATGGCATCTGGCCCCATCACTCCTTGGCAAACAAAAGAGGAAGTCATGGAAGCAGTGACAGACTTTATGTTCCTGGGATCCAAGATCACTGCAGACGGTGATTGCAGCCATGAAATTAAAAGACGCCTGCTCCTTGGAAGGAAAGCTATGGCAAACCTAGATAGCATAATTAAAAGCAGAGCCATCACCCTGCCAACAAAAGTCAGTAGGGTCAAAGCAATGGTATTCCCAGTAGTAATGTATGCAGGGGTCATTTCGTAGAAAAAGAACTAGGGGGACTCATTAGCATAACTCATTAGCATATGCCACACCCCCTGACATCACCGGAAGTGTGTCCTCCCCACAGCCGGCGGCGACCTCCAGCGGGCACCAGCAGGGACCTCCAGGCCCCGCCCTCCCGCACCTCACCCGGGGGGATGGCGTCCCCCCGCGTCCCCCCCCAAATGACCCCTGGCTTTGTATGGAGATACTGACTGTTCTTCCTTCAGCAAGTTATCCTGTGTATTGTGAATGTGGGAACAGCAAGTGGCATGAAATGGGCAACCGTTAAGAATTGCCTGCCTCTTCCAGGAGGCTGGGGGAATGGCATTTTTCATAGAGCCATCTGGGAGCAAGCGGCCTGTAAGAGCCTGTAACACAGATGCTTTCGAATTATGGTGCTGGAGAAGACTCTCAAGAGTCCCTTGAACTGCAAGGAGATCAAATTAGTCAATCCTAAAAGAAATCAACTCTGACGGTTCTCTGGAAGGCCAGATACTGAAGCTGAAGCTCAAATACTTTGGCCACCAAATGAGAAGGGAGCACTCACTGGAGAAGACCCTGATGCTGGGAAAGATTGAAGGACAAAGAAGAAGGGGACGGCAAAGGATGAGATGGTTAGGCAGTGTTATCAATGCAACAAATATGAAGTCGAGCAAACTCCAGAGGACAACAGAGAACAGGGCCTGGAGTGATGTTGTCCATGGGGTCACGAAGAGTCGGACTCAACTGTGAGACTGAACAACAGCAGCTAAACAAACACTGCAAGCGCATCAATGGAGGCATGGCAAAGGAAGGTTGTTACTAGCAGTGCCATCCTCTGCAGAGGTACACCCTTCTAAAGCCCATTGACTTCACTGAGAAGGGAAAAACTCTGCTTTGGATGGCTCTGTGAGTTAAATTAAAACTGAAGTATTCATATATTTTGACCTTATTCCCTAAAGGCAGACAGTGTGGGGCTGGATAGATCTCCCATGGAGGGGGGGGGGGATTCCAAAACCAGAAAGAGAGAGAGATCAGAAATTGCCCTATCACAAGGACCCACCCACTTCAGGAAGTGGTGGGATATAAATCAGGGCTTTGCTGATGATCTGAATATTGCAGGTATGGTCATATCAGATGAGGCAGGTTTTGA